TTGTGAAACTGGGTCTTCTTCGGTCTTAGTCTTCTCAATGTCCAGGTACTTGGGGCACTTTTCCCGCTACATCAAACCTGGAGCATGCAGAGCAGTTAGCAGTACCAGCAGGGATGTTTTGGAGGCTGTCAGACCCAAGAGAGTGAAAGAGACTGAAGCAAGATCAGCTGAGTTATGCTTTGTCACCAAGTCTTAAAAGCTAAGAAAATGACAATTCAACAGGTGACTTCTTGGGTAAATGTTGATGGCAGCGTGAAACTCAGCCATACGCTTGAGAGAAACTATCCGGTTTCCACGATTGCCTTTCCTTCCTTTCTCTTCATGCCTGGTTAGCCAGATTTGCATTCTTCAAACTGTTGAGCTGTGCTCACTCCCCTCGTAGGATTGTGTTGCTTTAGGCATTGTTGAAACTGCTTCCTTCCCATTTGGCTAACGCCTTGAGGTCTGGCTGTTGTAGTGATGAACCAAAGTGACGATGACATCGACTTCTGGCTTAAGGCTGGCAGGCTGCGTTGAGCCGTTGAGCCTATTGAGTTTGGAGATATTGGAGATGGGTAACACGGTCGCTTTGCTTCGTCCTTGACCCTTTTGAATCCTTTTAACTGTTCAGTCTTCAGTGTCAAGGTTTGTCCAGGTTTGTTCAGGTCTGTCGTGGTTCAGTTCTCACTTGGTGTTCGACTTGTCCGCTTTGACCGTCCAACATCGTCCAACTTGGGAAGGTCTTTGGTTCTGGAGCAGCGCATGTGGAGGTGAAGGGCCCTAGAGGTGATTATCACTGATGTATACTGATGTGTCGTATTCATATGCATTATATGCATTCATATTTCTGATGTGTTCTGATGTGTTCTGATGTATTCTGGTGAATTTGCATATGTTTGCATGGTGCCATAATGTATGTGATCACATTAGCACTGTAATGTGCTGACCTTAGGTCACGTCATGCAATGTGATGTGATTCAATGTAATAAGAGGAAATTTAGGGCTCAGGTAATGGAACGATGTGGACTGGCATCACATGTACACCAAACTCGGTGTGCAAGCTACATCAAGCATCATGTTGAATAGTTGAAACCAACATTGAATGAAACTACTTCAACATGTGAAGTTCCGTACAGTTTTACTTATACTATTGCTTAGATTGGCTGGTGCGATGCTATATATTGGTGCATGCAAGTATTGTCACGTATATAGTGTCATGTGATGTGGTGTAATGGGACACGTCTATGAATGCTGACAGTGGGTAGAAGGAAGGACAAATGCATGGATGGACGCACAGACGGATGCAAACGTGACAAAACCTGGGGCCACCATGTACGTAGATCCTTCCATACATTTCAACACAGCAAGGATTGTAACCTATTGAACATGTTCAACATTTTTCAACCGTAGAGGGACTAGTTGTGTTCAAGTTGTGTTCTTTCTTACTTTCACAGACAAGTTGACTGAGTCGGCTTCAGCACCTTGGCATTTTGACACGTTAGCTTTTATGGCCTTTGACAAGTGGTGAATGATTTTGCAAGGCCATAAGGCCATATTCAAAACATTTCAAAACACTTGCAGCCAAGCCCACCATGTGCCCATCGAAGGCACCTGCGCGCTCTATCTCCACCTTCCTAGTGTCTTAGAACTTGAGCCCTGAGGACTGTGCCAGAGGACTTCAGCCTTCAGCATACTGTTTTCGATCTTTTTCATACTTTTTTCATGGCATTTCACGAGTGTATTGATGAGTATGTGACAGTATCTGTTTGGATCATTCTGGATCTCTGTATACAACGTTCATGACTTCTAAAAGCCAGCATGCTGCTACAGAAACACTTGCGAAGCACTTTCTGCGAACGGTCTAACTGGCAGAGTCCTCCATTGCCACGTTTGATTTTCACTCTGAGATTGATTTCAGTAAAGCGGGTCTTGCTCAATTAGCATCGACAAAGAGCTTTGCGAGCTATGTCGAGCAGCGGGTTCGGTTTCGCAGTTTGGATACATGTTTGAGCACACTTCCAATGTTTAGGTGGAGCAATGGCCATGCATTGTAAATGGTTGCCGCAGTATTCGGTTCAGTTTGAATTTCTCAACGCTTCAAGTGTAGGCCAGAGCCTCACAGCCACAGATTTTTTCAGGGACTTTCGGCTGGACTTTTGACTTTACTGCATGTCGTGGAAGATGCGCACCACGCCCACCAGTTCCTATCAGGTACCTTGCTTTCAAGGTCGTTGGCAGGCCCCGGTACACAAAGGACACCCGGACAGGTCTTTAGCTGGCTTCTGAATGTTTTGTGCAGCTTGGCCCTTGGCCTAATGGTTGGGCTAAACATCACACAAATCACGCTTCTTTGAGTCACTTCGACTTGGCTAACGCGATCCTATTGCGAGGGAGGGACAAATCATCCTGACTTTGTATTCCCGGAATTCTCCAACGCAGTCATTCTTGCAATAGCGACCACAGGCAATTCATGAAAACATAGACAGCCCATTGCAGCTCGAGAGCTTGAAGCCAAGACTCACGAGGATGACATCATTATTAAGATGAAAGTTTACTCTGTTCTATCAATACATCTGTCATTTGCGACGCAAGCACGCTTTCATTAAACATTATTGGAACATTGGCTTGACTTGGATTGCTTTCAAAGCGGAGTTTCAACTCTTGGAAGCAGTTGCTGAGTGTCCTGCCCCACTAACAATCAACGGTTAGTGAGCTTCTATCACTGAATACTCATTTTGCTTTGCATTTTGCAGGCTGGCCTGATGGATGAGGAGTATGATGTTGTTGTATGTGGCACAGGCAGGGATCTTGCATTGAGTATCATTGAGTGCAAGAATCCAAAGCTGCGTGTGCCAAGTGGAACATTTCTTCTTGAACAGACTTAGGTCTTAAGGAGTGCATCTTGAGTGGCCTGCTTTCAGTCCATGGCAAGAAGGTCCTGCTTGTACTCGCACAATGCCTTTGTGGCAGAATACATTGACACCGAGACTGGCTTTGTTAGAATTGCGGATATTGCGGATGCCTGTCTTACTTTGTCAAACTCTGATCTCCTGGTTGCATCTGGCTGGTAGCACTGCTAGCCTATCCAGAGCTCTCTGGGTCAGAAAGCCTCCGCTTCAGGTCCTGCATTTGGATCGGAATCCGTACTATGGTGTGGCCCTTTCAGTACTTGGTTGATCTTGGTTGTAGTTCTTCATCCTTTAAGTCCGTTGTCCCTTCTAATTCTCAGTACATGTATACACACACATATATATATATATATAATGTGTATATAACCGAAGGAAGTTTAGAAGTCAAACTTCCGACAATATGGACAGATGAAAAGCAGAGATGGGAAGAGTCAGAGAAGAGAAGAAGAGAAGAAGAAAGAGAAAGTCTCAGAAGAAAGAAGATCCAGGTGCGCGAAAAGGTAGGAAAGTTGCGTGACACTATGTTTTACCAATGATTTGTGGCTCCGGAGGGTCGAAAAGAAGGCTCGCTAAAGCGGCGGGTGCGGAGCCATCTGGCCAGATGAGAGATGAAAAAGTGCACGCCGTTGTGGCGCGAAGCAGATTTCGAAGTCAACATGCACAAAACAGACCATGACCAGTCTCGGACCACTTTTAGAAGTTGCGATGTCGAAAAAGTGCACGCCGTTGTGGCGCGAAGCACATTTCGAACTCAAAATGTAAAAACACACCAGTGTCGGACAACTTTTGGAAGTTGAGATGTCGAAAAAGTGCACGCCGTTGTGGCGCGAAGCACATTTCGAAGTCAAAATGTACAAAGCACGCCAGTGTCGGACCACTTTTGGAAGTTGAGATGTCGAAAAAGTGCACGCCGTTGTGGCGCGAAGCACATTTCGAAGTCAAAATGCACAAAACACGCACTATTCTCGGACCACTTTTGGAAGTTCAGATGTGCACCTTGTCAAAAGTGAAACGTCAGGGTTTTGTAGCATTTTCAACTACAACCACCACTACACCACACTACACTCCAATACACTACAACTACAACTACACCTTCACTACATTCCACTACACTACACTCCACTACACTCCACTACACTACACTCAATTACACTCAATTCCACTACACTACACTACATTACGCTACACTACACTCCACTACACTACACTACATTACACCACACTACACTACCTTCCACTACACTACACTACACTACACGACACGACACGACACGACACTACACTACACTACACTACGCTCCACCACGCTACAACTACAACTACACTCCACTACACTCCACTACACTCCGCTACACGCCACTACACTCCACTACACTAAAGTACACTACACTACACTAAAGTACACTACACTACACTACGATACACTACACTACACTACATTCCACTACACCACTTCGCTACACTACATTACGCTACACTGCACTACATTCCACTACACTACACTACAGTACATTCCACGACGCTACACTACACTACACTACGCTACGCTACACTACACTACACTAACTACAACTACCACGACAACAGCAACAACAACAATGCTACATTTACACTACGCTGCACTACACTACACTATTTACGCTACACTACACTAGACTCCGCTACACTACACTACACTACACTGAATGACACTGCACCACAGATAGACAGGTAGACAGGTAGACAGACAGACAGACAGACAGATAGATAGCTAAGATAAGATAAGATAAGATAAGATAGATAAGATAGAGAAGGTAGATAAGTTAGATAAGATAGATAAGATAGGTAAGACAGAAAGGATACATAAGATAGATACATAGATAGATAGATAGATGGATGGATAGATAGATAGATAGATAGGTACATAGATAGATCGATCGATCGATCAGTAGGTAGGTAGGTAGGTAGGTAGGTAGGTAGGTAGGGAGATCACGAAAGGTAGCGTCAGCTACCTGAGTTCTCCGTGCTTCAGCACAAGCTTAGGGGGTATTGGGGGGCCAGCCCGTGGAATTCATGGAATTCTCGCCGTTATGTATTGGATATCAATTATAAGGGGGGCCCCCCCCCCGAAAATGGTCATGGGTTCAATTCCCACGGGTGACGCGGTCACGGGCCCCCACATTAGAGGCACACTTTCCATGAGGGAGATGTCCCTGTAGTCCAGCATAATTGGTTTGCTTCAGCCTCAATAACAGTTGCTGCAAGGGGTTTTAAAAAGGGGTTTTAAATAAACCCCTTTTCGTGCATCATTTCACGCTGCACAAGACACCGTATCATGCAGTCATGCTCTGGATAAAATCATCTTAGACTGCGCAAAAAAGTTTTTGGTGTATCGTCTTAGGGGCGCAACATTTTGACACCACTCCTCTCCCACTACACTACCTTTCGTCCGCCTCCGCCTGCTCTCAAGTTGTCAGAGAAAGAGAGAGAGAGAGAGAGAGGAGACCTCAAGCACCTTTCGGTCCATCAGTGGATTCGCTCTGCTATCCGTGATTCACAACAACCAATCTCTCCTATAGGTTTCCTATTTTTGAAACTTCCGCCACTGCCTTGTTCGGTACTACTGGTATACATAGATATAACGAGATTCTGGATGCAAACTTTATTCAAACTGTTTTTCCTAGGTGGAGATTGCGCGTCTCTGAACATCACAAATCTGTGGCAGAAATTCATGCCGGGCACAGAGCCTCCCAAGGAGTTGCAATCTCAGCTCACCGGACAGACAGATAACCCTTTAGTTTGGACATGTCAGATATCCTCCAAAATGTTATGTTTGATGTCTTATTGTTTTTGCGTATCTTTTTGCATATCTTTGCATCAGTTAGAACTTCGCTATTTGTTTTTGAGGCTGGGACAGAACAGAGAATGGAATGCCATGGCCTTGGAAGCCTACGGAAACCTACGGGGCTTGCTTCGGAAGCCTACGGTGATTCCTTCGCGCAGATTCAAAATGTAGATCCAGTCGTTCCTTTGGTGCCCTTCAGGTGGACCTCATCCCAAAGTTCATCATGGCTTCTGGTGACTTAGCAGTTGGCCGAGAAACTGTTTCTTGACGTTTCTTGACTCGACCTCTGACTCGGACCGCTTGTATAGCTCACGTACAAAACAGGCGTGGTTGTTCCAAGTTCCAATCATTTCTTGCACCCCTTTGGGGCGGTATGCTTTGCCTTTTTGCGCAAGTACCGCTCTGCTGCCCAGTTTAAACATTTTGATAACGTGCTGTGATTTAAGACTTATGGCCATACATCACTTCGGTGGCTGCGCGTATAGTAGAGAAGGGTGTTGAGAACTCAGGTCAAAATTCTGTTGAAGACTAGGGTTTCGCGATATTTGGAGTCCTATGCTCAGCATGCTCAGCACCTCCAGACTGTTTGGATGTGTTTCACTCTTTTGAGCGCTGATTCATGGCAGTGGTTCTATTTCCACAGGACAAATACTCCACTTCCATACTGAGATTCACCTGATAGCATTTCACACGGGGCATGATTTACTGTATTTGTTGTTTTCTGTAACGAATGCAAATTTATGCGTAACCGATAGCAACGCCATGTAACTTTCCTACGTGAAGGGGATGGTGGCAAGGCACATCGCTGCTTTCGCATAGTGTTTCTATGAGCATACTCTGTATATCCCTGCATCTTTTGCATTGTAATGTTTTAATGTGAAAAAGGGAAGGGGGTGGATGGCGCGTGGATTGCTGTAGATTGCAGATTGCTAGATATGGCTATAGATTGCTGTAGAAGGTAATTTGGGAAGGTTCAAATCGTTTTGATGGCGTGATTTGTAGTACATTGTGCAGGCTCTGTTGTACAAAGTAGCCATTGAGAGTGTGACCAAGTGGTTAGCCATCTTCTGTGCAAAAGCGCGTCGGGGAATTGGGAAGCGATGCAAAATCAATCAATTTGTGTCCTACTCATTTCTACTCTAAGACTGCATAGTAGAAAGTCCTGGTGAGAATCCTGGTGCAAATGAGATTGAAGCAATGAGTCCCTTAGGTCCCTCATATTGTATTTGAACCTGTAAGTCTCGTGCGTCGAGGATGGTTGAAATATGAAATATACGTACATACACAGTGATATACAGTGAATTTTGAAATGACTTCTGAGAAAGGAAGGAGTGTGTCACCGAGCCATCCAAGTGGTGGAAGAATCCAGCATATGAAGTAGCTAGGGAAAGCAATGGAGGTAGATTAACTTTGTGTATACTAGTCCGGATCAGAACATTTATTCGGCTTGCTGAGTTGTGTATGGGTTGCAATTGTGCAAGATCATTGAAGGTGGAAATCCTGTGAGGGGACCTATGTGTATCAGTCCAGACCTTAGACAAGCCTGACCGCCAAATGAGCAGACTGGGCAGAGTGTGCTTTGGAGGTACCAAGAGGCAGGCCTATTCTCTGGGCCAAAGTACATCCACAAGGCAAGAGAAGGACAATGAAAGACACACGACTCAAGAACAACTCTGTTCAGCGAGGCTAAATTGAAAACGAACACAAAAGTTTCCAGGTGCCTGCAACTGCGGGTGATGGTCTCAAGTCACCTTTGATGGGAATGCTAGAAAAGTGCAGAAGCCCAGACTTCAGAAATAAGCTGACTCTCGATTCTCAATTCTTTCTGCTTAGTAAGATTCAGCCTGTCAAAATTGATGTCAAGGCCGCGTTTCATCAATTTCGCTCAGTTCATCATGGGTTGGGAGGACTAAGCAGCTTGAACTATACAAATGAGCAGAACTGTCAAAGCCGACGCGGTCTCAAAGCGCGATGAAGTTTGCAGGATGACAAACCGGCGACGCACCAGGACATTGATCCCAGGTGAAACCTTGCATGTTCCAGAACATCTGTTCATGAAGATTCACATTGAAGCACTGCAGAAGTTCAATTCGTGAGGCGTCACACCATGGCACAGGTGTACCAGAAGTTTTGTCCTTACCAAATCATTTGTGAAGTTGCATGGACCATGAAGAAGCTTGTCCATCGTGTCCATGCATCAGCTCCGCTTTTGCTACTTTAGGGACTTGGATTGACATCCTGTCCGTGCTCTGCTTCTCTGCACTTGATTTTTTGTATGCCTCTTTTCCGTTCTCGACCCACTGTTTTTGTTATGTGTCTTGGTCTATGAAGGTTTTCTTATCAAGTATGTTGCTGCGCCTGGTGCTTGCTTTTTTGCAAGTTGTTGGCAAAAATGGACGAGGTTCGGGCTGCAAGAGTCAACCATTGACTTCATTGGCCATGCTGTGGCATTGCAGTGAACTTGGGGGGAGAGACACTAAGACGTAAAACCAGACAAGATACGTTTGCCACTGTTTGTCGACTGTGTTCAGCATTGTGCAGTTTTTCTTAATCGGCACTTGGCAAGCTTTCTTCAGGTGGCCCAACGACAACTATCTCAATGGGCCATGTGGCCCAACGATTCAGAAGTGCAGGTGCCTGACTGTAGCACGCTTCATGCCGTGCAGTGATGTGCAGTGGCTGATTCTTGCGAGTGTTTTTTTCCTTCATTTTTTTACTCTCTAGCCAAAGGTCGGAAAGCCTAACACGAGCTTAACACGGGACCATTTTGCATCAACTTGTCTTGAAAGCCTCATGTGTCGATCTTGTCGATCCAATGCGATCTCTTGCTGACTTCTCTTTTGTTTCTACTGTACTATTTTTTGCTTAGTTGGATTTTTTCCTACATTGCCAACTATTTGGCTTATGGTGCCAAGAGGCTGTCGCAAACGATCCATTTCCGATTGTTGTTGGGCAAACATGCAGTTAAAGTCGGTTAAATGGTAAGGTAAACACAGATTGGAAAGAATGACCATTTTGCAAAATGCTGCGTCGAGCAGAACATCCATGTCATCATATACACCACCCGCTTGCTTTGCCTTTCTGAAGGCTGTACCTGACGTCCGTGTTGCAATATGGAGGCCTGTGGGACTGTGGGGGTTACCGTGAATATTCTGCAAGTTCTCCTTGAACTGTTTGGCTTCACTTGGCTTCGCTTGGCTTCAGGTTCACCATTCATCTACCCCATCTATGGCCTGGGTGGTCTTCCTGAGGGCATCTAGCTCAGTGTTCACAGCCGTACTGAGTTTACGTTGGGTTAGTTGGGCTTCCTGGTTGGAACTCAATGCAGATGCCGGAGTGATTCTGCGACGGACGTATTGCGACATGTTGCAAAGTGTTGCAAAGTGTTGAGGCTTCTCAAGACTGGCAGCAATTCATAGAGGAACCTACATGCTTCTTAGCAGCAGCTGGATATTGTCAGATTTGATTCTTATTCTTATTTGTTCTTGCTCCTGTCGCAAGACGGAGGACATATCTAGGCAAAGTGTAGTCGAAAGACCCGGCCATCTTTGGATGTTGTGGAACTTTCTAGCTTCCCTGATCTGACTTGTGTCAGGTTGAACAAAGGTGTTGATGGATTTGTCTACGATGATCAGGGCAGAGTCTTTGACTTACTCGATCTACAGTGGGTAGTCCGAGTGGTCTTGATGCTACACCATCACGTCAAGCAATCAGTGACCAAGTGTAGATAAAAGCATGAAGGAGCATGGTATGCAATGGACTGAAGGTCTGTGGTGTCAGATCCGGGGATGAGGTTGCGAAGTGTAGCACTCGGCGCTTCCTACCAACACCAGAAACGACTTGCTTGCGACGACTTTTGCACTTCTATGGCATGTATACGAGTCAACCTTTTATATAGGTTTTGGGGATCGGCATACGCTGCAGGGGTTGGACCGGGGTTTTCCAACAGGGTGGGGGGAAGGGGCAAAAACAAAATCCGGTACCACGCTAAGATCCATGCATTCCCCGCGGTTTGTTTGATTCGTTTTGCTTTGGCCTTCCTCGTAGCAAAGCAAGTGTTCTGCATCACTCAGAGACTCAGTGCATGTGCGCACACCACTCCTGTGCCATGTTCCAATCATGAACCACTTTCGTGGGCAGAAACGATGGTCCACCCCAGAATACAACCGTTGTTTGATGATGCTTGCATCAAAGGCAATTCGCAACATATATGCACTTCCATGACCTCCATGTGTAGTGTTTCTGCCTATTCCTGCCACTCGCCTGGTTTCCACTCGCAACATTCGATTGGATCATCTTGTGTGATCCAAGGTGCAAGATGGTGATTTGCGATCCTTCATATGCAGAGCCAACAAGGAGCCACACTTGTGAGTCACTTGAGACGTGTTGAGACTTCGAGCAGATTTTGGGGGGCGACTTGTCAGGACTGAGGTAAGGGGCCAGGTCATCCGTGCCATTTGCTTCGACCCAAGTCTTGAATTGTTTGATATGATTTGATAGTTTTGCTTTGCAACTATCGAATTCTAGCGAGTGTCGTTCACTGCTTGTGACTTCTCGTATGGAGTGTGGATGGGCCGTGATCGCACAATACGAATAAGTGAAATTAAAGGCAGATGGTGGTCCAGAGTTCTCTTTTGTATTTTGCAGATTGCAAGCCCCAAAGTCCTCACATGATGGGAACGGAGTGTTCGAAGGGATTGAGCAAGGCACGCACCCACACCTTTCCCTCACAAATCTGAGTCTCGACAGCTTGAAGTCAATAGGTTGCCCCAAAGAGACTGCAGCATTTTGCTTGCGTAACATGTTCGTTGGGATATAGGTTACATCGTTGGATGTATCAATAACCAGATACGTCTGACACACACACACATACACACAGACACAGACACGCACAAACGCACTCACACGTGGACACACACACAGACATTTCATTATAAATGGGCTAACGCCCTGGTGCCGCCGACCCCCATTTTGAGGGCCATGGTTATCCGATGTTATGCGATGTTATCCCACATGTTTCCATATTTGTCATGTTTTGTCCATGATTTTCACCAGGATTCCCAGGCGCTGGCAAAGGGCTGCCGCTGCAGGGCAACGTGTTTGTGGTGACCTGGGAAGACAGCGGCAAAGCGGTAAAGGCCCACAGACGGGTTTTGTGTCGTGATGGGCCGTGCTTCGCGCACGTTTTGAAACCCTCTAAATGGAGTATGGCGACATGGCCAGGCGCTGGCAAAGGGCTGCCGCTGCAGGGCAACGTGTTCGCGGTGACTTGGGAAAGCAGTGGCAACGCGGTAAAGGCCCACAGACGGGTTTTGTGTCGTGATGGGCCGTGCTTCGCGCACGTTTTGAAACCCTCTAAATGGAGTATGGCGACATGGCCAGGCGCTGGCACAGGGCTGCCGCTGCAGGGCAACGTGTTCGCGGTGACCTGGGAAGGCAGTGGCAAAGCGGTAAAGGCCCACAGACGGGTTTTGTGTCGTGATGGGCCGTGCTTCGCGCACGTTTTGAAACCCTCTAAATGGAGTATGGCGACTGGCCAGGCGCTGGCAAAGGACTGCTACTGCAGGGCAACGTGTTCGCAGTGACTTGGGAAAGCAGTGGCAAAGCGGTAAAGGCCCACAGAGGGGTTTTGTGTCGTGATGGGCCGTGCTTCGCGCACGTTTTGAAACCCTCTAAATGGAGTATGGCGACATGGCCAGGCGCTGGCAAAGGACTGCCGCTGCAGGGCAACGTGTTCGCGGTGACCTGGGAAGGCAGTGGCAAAGCGGTAAAGGCCCACAGAGGGGTTTTGTTTCCTGATGGACCGTGCTTCGCGCACGTTTTGAAACCCTCTAAATGGAGTATGGCGACTGGGCCAGGCGCTGGCAAAGGGCTGCTGCTGCAGGACAACGTGTTTGCGGTGACTTGGGAAAGCAGTGGCAAAGCGGTAAAGGCCCACAGACGGGTTTTGTGTCGTGATGGGCCGTGCTTCGCGCACGTTTTGAAACCCTCTAAATGGAGTATGGCGACTGGCCAGGCGCTGGCAAAGGACTGCTGCTGCAGGGCAACGTGTTCGCGGTGACCTGGGAAGGCAGTGGCAAAGCGGTAAAGGCCCACAGAGGGGTTTTGTGTCCTGATGGACCGTGCTTCGCGCACGTTTTGAAACCCTCTAAATGGAGTATGGCGACATGGCCAGGCGCTTGCGTGCCGTGCAGGGGAACGTGTTCGCGGTGACTTGGGAAAGGCAGTGGCAAAGCGTGTAAAGGCCCACAGACTGGGGTTTTGTGTCGTGATGGGCCGTGCTTCGCGCACGTTTTGAAACCCTCTAAATGGAGTATGGCGACTGGCCAGGCGCTGGCAAAGGACTGCCGCTGCAGGGCAACGTGTTTGCGGTGACCTGGGAAAAGGCAGTGGCAAAGCGACTGGCCAGGCGCTGGCAAAGACTGCCGCAGGGCAACGTGTTTGCGGTGACGGGTTTTGTGTCGTGATGGGCCGTGCTTCGCGCACGTTTTGAAACCCTCTAAATGGAGCATGGCGACTGGCCAGGCGCTGGCAAAGGACTGCTGCTGCAGGGCAACGTGTTCGCGGTGACCTGGGAAGGCAGTGGCAAAGCGGTAAAGGCCCACAGACGGGTTGGCGACTGGCCAGGCGCTGGCAAAGGACTGCTGCAGGGCAACGTGTTCGCAGTGACTTGGGTAAGCAGTGGCAAAGCGGTAAAGGCCCACAGAGGGGTTTTGTGTCGTGATGGGCCGTGCTTCGCGCACGTTTTGAAACCCTCTAAATGGAGTATGGCGACATGGCCAGGCGCTGGCAAAGGACTGCCGCTGCAGGGCAACGTGTTTGCGGTGACCTGGAAAGGCAGTGGCAAAGGGGTAAAGGCCCACAGACGGGTTTTGTGTCGTGCTGGGCCGTGCTTCGCGCACGTTTTGAAACCCTCTAAATGGAGTATGGCGACTGGCCAGGCGCTGGCAAAGGACTGCTGCTGCAGGGCAACGTGTTCGCGGTGACTTGGGAAGGCAGTGGCAAAGCGGTAAAGGCCCACAGAGGGGTTTTGTGTCGTGATGGGCCGTGCTTCGCGCACGTTTTGAAACCCTCTAAATGGAGTATGGCGACTGGCCAGGCGCTGGCAAAGGACTGCTACTGCAGGGCAACGTGTTCGCAGTGACTTGGGAAAGCAGTGGCAAAGCGGTAAAGGCCCACAGAGGGGTTTTGTGTCGTGATGGGCCGTGCTTCGCGCACGTTTTGAAACCCTCTAAATGGAGTATGGCGACATGGCCAGGCGCTGGCAAAGGACTGCCGCTGCAGGGCAACGTGTTCGCGGTGACCTGGGAAGGCAGTGGCAAAGCGGTAAAGGCCCACAGACGGGTTTTGTGTCGTGATGGGCCGTGCTTCGCGCACGTTTTGAATCCCTCTAAATGGAGTATGGCGACTGGCCAGGCGCTGGCAAAGGACTGCTGCTGCAGGGCAACGTGTTCGCAGTGACCTGGGAAGGTAGTGGCAAAGCGGTAAAGGCCCACAGAGGGGTTTTGTGTCCTGATGGACCGTGCTTCGCGCACGTTTTGAAACCCTCTATATTATATAAATGGATTATGGCGACATGGCCGGTGACCTGGGAAGGCAGTGGCAAAGCGGTAAAGGCCCACACGGGGGTTTTGTGTCCTGATGGCCCGTGCTTCGCGCAGGTTGTGAAACCCTCTAAATG